TGCAAAACACTCTACATATAAATGTATATAAGACAGCTCTCAGGACCGTAAATTAGTAGTTACGGACTTTTTGGCAAATTATACCTTGCTGAACGTCTCTTTATATGCCACTATATTGCAGCACTTGAAGCTCGAATGCGCTTCTTGTTATCGAGCAGTCCAACGCCACGGGCTCGTTGTCTATTTGGTTTCGATTAGTACGAAATGCGTGAACCCCAGGCAGTTGAATAGGCGAAGACGGGACGCGGCGATCTATGTAACCAGTTGTTCATTCATTTGGCGTTTCGAACACATTTGTCATCATCAGTCGAGACAAAATTGAGAAATTCGCATAAAATCTGAACTCAATCTTCCAGGCCTCCGGTTTACGGTGGAGGAAGAAAGAAACAGTCAGCTGCCGTTTCTGGAGGTGGTTGCGAATCCTGCAGAAAAACGTTTTACAGGAGGACGGTGAATACCTATCGTATTCTGAGTTTCAATAGCGACTACTCCCCTCCCCATCCCGCTTAGACGCAGCTGCATGAAAAATCTGTACCGTCGTGTACAAACCCACTGCAGCACACCAGCCGAAAACGAGGCTGAGTTTCTGTTTTTGTGGAAAGTCTTCGGTGTCAACGGATAGATATCCTGGCAGGTTTGTTGAAAAATATAGACGAAAAGCCACAGGAAGAACCCCGAAATGTTGGCGAACAGCGTCTTACATGACTGGTGTGTGTGTTCAAAGATTTCGCTAGACGGCTGAGCGAATTTGCGATTGGCGTCGCTCACGTACGCCCCGATTTCACGAAATGCCAAATAATACAAGGAGATGAATTTGAACCATCTCGACCCCCTAGTGTTTACTTTAGCTAGACCTTTTAGGATACAGTCGACCCCCACTAATTTTCAAATGGAGATTCACCTGCGTATCTCTTAGTTCGAGTCAGTTCCGAGGGCCTGGTTTAGACTGAATGTGGGTCATTCAGTGGTTTGGTCTAAGACCATCTTCCCGGTCTCATGTTTTACCTTGGCCCGTCTAAAATGAGACTCAGCCGCAACCACTAGCATGCTTTTCTAATCTACCCCTTCTCCTTTCTTATACTGCCCTCACGTCATGTGTTTGCGTGGTTCATAGTTGTTTAAGTTGCCGCATGTAGATGAAACGTTTTGCTGTCTACAAACTCCTTCAAAGTCTGACGATAGGGCATCCACGTAAGCAACTGCCCTTACCAGCTTTAGGTAGCACATCTACTATTTACTAGTGATGGTATGAAAACTGGCAACTAAATGTGTCTCAGTGTCACTTTATTTTTTTGGGAGGGCAAAAAAGAGAACTTAACTTTAACTGGTACTCTGTGAAACGCCGTTTTTCAGGATCTGACTCGGCTTTTCCAACATCTGCGCTCGATTGAGGGTCTGGTGGGCAGCGGCCCCTCCTCCCACCGTGATGCCGCTCTGCGTGAGGTCTGTCGTATCGCCCGACCCCTGCGTGCCAAAGGCGACACTCTCCTCTACCGGAAAGACGACCCCACTGACTGCTGGTACATCCTCCTCACGGGCT